ATCAGTTTTACAAGTAGCGGAACTTTCTTCAACACGAACGACAAAAATTGATGCATATTTTGCTATTTTTACCTTTCTAGCAAAAGTACTTTGTACTTTCAAAGCGTCGATAGTATGTCAGAGTAATTCACGTTTCAATAACCAGACGTTCTATTCATATTTTATCGGTCGCGTTTTTGCAAGTTCCACTTGTTGCATTGAAAATGCTTTCATGCAAACGTTACTTTGCACATCTTGTTTAAATGCAAAAAGCATTAACACTGACGAACATTCTAACTAACGACTAACTACGCAATACAAGATATTACGTACGATAGGTACAACAAAAAATTATGCACTGTTCAGAAAGAAACAGCGGTACATTAATTAAACGAAAGACAAGTAAGTAACGTCGTAAGCTTTTTCTCACGGTATTGATATATTTGAAAATTTGTTTGTTTCTGAACGGGTTAATCGCTTATTGTACGAGGAAGCAAAGAGGGGCGAGTGAACATTTACATTTCGACACACAGACATAATAATAATATACAGAGTGTAGAGTGAACTGATCCCATTTTCCAAGCCTACAGAAAGAATTGGATACATATTACAGGAAAAAAATGTGATACCATCGATGGTGGTTGACTCAATTTGAGTATACATTTTTCCACCAAATATCTGTACGTCGTTATACGGATCATAATCGCCTAAATCCTCGTCACTCTTTAGTTTTGCAAGGATCTTGCGTCTTTGTTTCGTACCGACTGACTGCATAGCTAAAAGCACATTGGGGGACTGAATGCCAAGGGAAGATATCAACGCGTCCGTCCCATAAACGAAAGCCGCGCCTATGAGAAATCCAACTCCTATTGGTACGAACGCGTATTCGCCTTCCGCTCCGTACAATTTGCTCTTTGTCGCCATTTCAATAGCAGGTGCCAGTAGCGACCAGTAACTTGCCGCTATCATCACGCCGCCTGCGAATCCCAGGCTGATGTCCAATAATTTACGCTGTAATTAAACGCGTTCCATCATTTAGTATCGTTCTGCTCTCTTATCTCTTAATTTACGTGTATGTAGAATTTCAAATAGGCATCGACAATCAAACATATTGTGATACTGTTAAAATAATTATACGGTAATAAACTTATTATCGTAAAATGTTCGATATTTCTCTATGTTATAGAACCAAGCGATACCTTCTCTTTCGTAAAGAGAAATTTTGTTCATACGTTGTTCAGTTTGTATACATCTAATCTTATCAGATAAAGTTTTAAATTAGTAGCAATTTCTTAAAAAGAAATGAAAAAAGATGCAAACGTTAACTAGATAACGTTGAAATTTTATATTGCGTAGTATATTTTCTTCGCTTTTCTTTGCTTTTCTTTGACTAGTTCGTGAACGAAATTAGCCGATCTTACGTCATTTCCATATAAAAAATTTACTTCACAAATTTTCTAATTAGAGGAGGCTGATATAGCTAATATAGTAACCGCTAAGAATCAGACTAAACTTCATTCTTGATCTAAATTTTTGGTTTATTTCCGTGTCCTTCGATAATATTTGACTGGTAAGGTCCAAGAACGCCAGTTCTAAATTTAGGGAATCATGAGATTAAAAGTTATGCGTCTGCGAACATGCACCGACATTTCACAGCTTATTTCAACGCCATATTAGCTTTATTCATAGATTATTCGTTTCAGTTTAACGAGTCAAATCACTATCTGTAAATAGATGCACATGATGGCCAAATTTCAGGTTCGGCAATTCATATCGATATTGGGTTGGATCAGATAAATCCAGGCGGAAAGCGGTCGGTAACACTGCTATCTACCAGGTTCGCGCGAATTTGTTGAACATCTGTAACGAAATAAGCTATAAAACACGTACTTTTACAGATCTATAACTTTTGATTCCATGATTTTCTAAACTTAAAACTGACATTTTTTGGATTCTACTAGTCAAATACCATTGAAAGACACAGAAATAGATAAGAGATTTAGGATGCCCTAAAACAAAGTTTAACCGAAGAGAAGAATTAAAAAAACGTTAACTGATAATAACAACGAAATTAATTGCACCTTTTACGTAGTACATTTTTTCCCTGACTGGTTCGCAAAAGCAGCTAATCGATTTTACGTTAACCATTTCCGATAACAAAATTTATTTTATTCCGCTAATGTATTGCGCTAAATTATAATAAGAAATTTGTAAGATGATAACAAAGCTTGGAATATCGTAAATATCGTGTTTCTTTAAACTAGGATGTGAAACATTTTCAAGGTGGTAAGTGTAATTCTAACGTTTTCAAAACGGAAAAATTCCCGCGAAGAGTGTACGATAAAGGTTAGTTTATACTTTGCAAATTAGGTTAGAGTCGAACGTATATAATATTTTGATTAATGCAGTAATAAATACTTGACGAAACGTAGGTAAATTCAAAAATATTCGATTGAAGAAGAAAAGAAAGGAATAAAGCTTACTTGTTTTCCTCTAATTACGATAACAAGTGCGGCACCCGCTGCGGTGAGAGCCCACGTAAATAACGTTCCTAGGAGCGCCTGTACGATTGGCGAATAATCCTTTAACATTGTACCAATCGTCTAATCCTCGACACCTTAGATCGCACAGCACATCCTCTGCAATGTGAACCACGAGAAACTGTTTCGTGGGACACAAATTCCGTTGATATGCATTCAGTCCCCCGCACTTATCTCAGCCACCACCATCGCCACTAACACTATCACAGTGGCTGCCACTGATACTTCATTACAGTTACTATCACTGCTGAATATCGGCGCTGCTATTGCTAGTCTACTACTACCAACGCGTATTCGCGTCTACTTGCTGTACGACGAGTTCGTTCCTGTACTTATCAATTATGATTTCCGAGTAGGGTACACAGAACACATTGATATGAAACCGGACGAACATATGTAACCACTGTATGGCGAACACGCTTTTGTCATTATTCGCCCTTACGTACAAATGGGGTTGCTTGTATATACATGTGACGCTAAACACTATCTCAATTGACCAATAGAATTCGCCAATTCCAATGCACCAATCCGATAACGATCTACAGCGACGTGCACGATATTCAAACTGCATTAAACCTGTATCTGAATTCTATGACTTTTGACAGGCACTTATCTCATTCACCGAGACATGTCCAAGAATTTGAATCATCTGTCATTAATCAAAGACATATTCGAATTCTTTTCTAGGATTTTATTTCAATACGCTTCTACGTATGTTTCGCGCTTTTCTCATGTTAATAAGGCGTTAGTATCGCTGGAAGCTTTTGGTAAAACATGCTAACATGGCGTCTGCGTCGGTAAGTGTACGGGAACATTTTAACCCATTCGATTTTCGTATATCGACGCCAAGTATTTTTTTTTTACTTCCACCTTTAAACTGCCAGGTTGCTTAAAACTATAACAGAAGAATCATTTTCATCGCGAAAACATCATCACCGTTTTGTTGTCGTGTCGGAAGAATTGCTATTGACATTTATTCGTGAATATCCGTACGTATAATAGTTAAAACAGGTGTAAATCGATATGTTTTGAAGTGTACGAGGTGTTGCTGTATCATTTTTATGTGTTAATTTCCTTTTAGGGAGGGAAGGAGAATTTTCATTTTTCATTTTCATTAACGTTGTAATCACGGTTTGACGTGTAACGTTGTTGCTTGTCAATAGTTGAAATTTTATTATGTGATTTCTTAGGTACCTTTGCTAATGGATGATGATACAATTGCTTTTGGCGAAGAGGATGAAACGGGTCAAAGCAACAATAAACTTAAGTATATAAATGTTACAATTATATAAACATTTAATAAAAGTAATTAAGGTTTGAGATTGACAACATTATATCTTTATAGACATCCATATGTTACCATGTTTCATTTAGCCTTCAGAATAGCAGCGATAGTAGCCTATATGTTATGTGGATGGTTTTCAAATAGTTTCATAACTAGTTTTGTAGTCGTTGTATTGCTCTTGTCAATGGACTTTTGGACCGTTAAAAATATCACCGGAAGGCTAATGGTTGGTCTTAGATGGTGGAATTACGTGGATGACAATGGAAAAAGTCACTGGGTATTTGAATCCAAAAAGGTTTGTTAATTAAGAGTCTATATTTTATAGGCATTGCGTACGTCCTTTCGATTTTGTACATTTTAGTAGACATTGTATCTACCTGAATGAATAAATAGTTCAAGGTTTACCAGTTTTCACATTTTATGCCCTTGACACATTGTGGTAAAAAAGAAAAGATAAAAAGAGAAAGGCTTATAATTATGCAGGCATTTAATGTTTTGCTGTTCTTGGTAAACAACATTGAAAAAAGAGTAGTAGAAAGGATTATAATTGTTTACTATAAAATACAAGGTCTACTATGTATACCCTGTGTTTCAGGGTGTCCAACAGAACCGCATTAATACTACAGAAGCGCGTATCTTTTGGTTAGCCTTAATTCTCTGTCCACTTTTGTGGTCGATGTTTTTTGTGGCAGCCTTGTTTAGTTTGAAATTTAAGTGGCTGTTGCTCGTTTGCATCGCAATCGTTTTGAATAGTGCAAATTTATATGGATACGTAAAATGCAAAATGGGAAATGATAAAAATATTTCGACTGCCACCAGCGACTTTCTCAGAAAACAAGTCATACAAAATGTAAGTAAATAAATGTTCTTTATAGTTTGAAGGATACGTAAACCAGAAGTACATAGATCTATTGTTATTCTCACAGGTTGCGTCCATGATGACCAGGAGTCCACCCGCAGGTAATCCAGGTGCACCGACTAATGTGATATAAGATTAGAAATTTTCAGTCATGATATTATTTAAGGAAAAACATTGCCGTAATAAGTATCATCGTGAAAACTGTCGACTTGTATATAATGATGCTAATAATTGTATATCTTAATGAAATAATATAAAATAATATTGCTATTGAAAATATCGTCGTTCGTTTATTTCCTGGTGTTTTCACGTTTCGAAAAAAAAAAAAATGCGGATGTTACGTTAATTATTAGTTTATTGATGCCACAGGGCAATACATAATGTACACCTTATTTCTCCTTGTCAACAGACTTTCTATTACACAATATTTAATTTGTATAGGTGTTAATTAGTAACATTGCATTTATTATATTCATTTCAGCCTGTTGTATTCTTTCTGGCAAGAAAGTATCACAAAATAATTTCCCATTCTTTCAACGATATTTAATATTTGACTTATTCTTTGTTTCTTTAATTCACATTTTCCACGGAATTAATGACTGCAATCGTATGACTACAATCTTATCCAAATGGATGAACTCGAGATGATCTCACACACAGTGTAACAAACTCGTCGTGGTATTGCACGGAGCGATAATATGGCCGATTGTATTTTGTTGTATTAGGAAAGATTGCTCCGAAAACGCGAGTCGTATGCTTTTTAAGAAGAAGAATACAACAAACCACATATTGCTATACACTCTGGGATATAAAAAAATTATAAACACTAACAATAGACACGCAGCTAACGTACAACATACACAAAACTTTTGGAATGATACAAAAGAACGTAATAACATTACGGTTCGGTATCTTATAAATATATGAATATCGTGGACTTTTTTGAATTGGTAAATTCATCGGATACAATTTAATGCTACTAACTTATAACTAGTAATATGTTTATACAATCATTTAACTTTTCGTTTTCCGTAACATATTGTATTTTTAGTCTGGAACTTTGAACGCGAAGTTGTCGACCGTCTTGGCGAAGCTGCACTTTGTGCAGGATTATATTCCTTCTCTCTTTTGTTAAATCTTTTAATATATCTATATAATACGTGTGTATGTAGTTAAAAAGTTGAATCGAAGGATAACAACGACATCCTTAAAATCATCGTACCAAAGACTTTAAAGTTTAGTTCGCTTCTTCCACGAATATGATTATAGATGTTACGAAGAGATTCTTTAAATTCAAATCGTTTTGTTACCATGTTATCATCGTTTGTCCATGGGAATGTATTTCTTTGTTTTCTATGTACGTTGGTTTTTCAGCCTTTTTTTTTTTTTTTTTAGTGTGATGCATTTGTATAACAAGTCGATTTTTTTTTTTAATAAGTTTTTACACCAATTGTAGTTCTTAACAATGGCACATTTTTATCGAAGAGAGAAGTTGTTTCAAGGATTACTTAATCACTGCTGATTTGATTTACTGAAAAACAGTCGTATCGTCGTGTCTCTTCATTGCCAGTAACAACGAATTTATATTCCGAGGCAGAAGCACGATATCGCTAGTTATACACGAATAAAAGGTAAACAATAATGAGATTGAAGAAAGTAAATGTACATTAATGTGATAAATCAAGTCAACAGTATAAAAAAGAATAATTATAAAAATAGAATTACTTTAAGACTAACTTTCGTGCTCGTACCAAAGGCCAGTATACAACGATGATCAAGAAACGAATGTTGACAACGTATCTGCAAGCGGAAAAACTCAGTCCCAAATAAGTCATAGTGGATGGATTAGGAAGAGATTATGTACAGAAGAATCGAACACATCGGAAAATCTCGGAATTTGAACGGACAATGAGAGAGATACAAAGATTAAGTATAGTATAATCTTTTATAAGGACGACCGAGGCGGTTTAAGTACTTTTTAGAAGTACCGAAAATATACGTACACGATAATACATTAGACACGCAATGGCCTTCAGTCTTACAACATCAAATAAAATGATATGAGATGCGAATAAATGCACGCTCGGAAATAATACAGTAGGTCATTAGTCTTCAATGTAAATCTCGTGTAAAAAAATAGGTACGCAAGTAAAGTTGCATGAGAACGAACTTATGTTAAAAAACAGTATCAAAAGGTGCGTTGAAAACCGAAAAGCGACAAAACGGATGGAAAAAATAAAAGAAACGTGCTTATATTGACAGTCTAGAAAATATCCACAGCTTTTTTTTTTTTTTAAATGCGTACTCTCTTCAATTATGATATTTATAATATATATGTATATATATATATATATACATACATACATACATACATATATATATATTATTTATCATTTTACTTATGTATATTTATATTTATATCCATATTTATAGTTATATTTATATTTATATAATGTTGTTAATGACAAACGGTGCATTTATGTACACTTAGTCACAATTCCTGACCCTCGAACCACTTTTAACTGAAAATATGTATATACGTTAGATGCTTGTTCGAACATCATTAAATTTAAAGGTTGAATCTAAGAATGTAACATCGATTCCTCTCCTTTCGTACGTTTCTCTTCTGCATTTCTTGCTTAGGTTACTGCACGAACCCCTCGCAATCAAAAGAATGCCAAAAACTGAAAGAGATCTTCTGACTCGCTCGGCTGATTATATTCGTTAACCATACCACCCACGCACTGCATATTTTTTATAGCTAGAATTTTTTGCTTTACCATTATCGTCGAACAGCGATAAAACGATTCTATACCGAACGATACGGTGAAAATTTCGAAATATAGAAGGTATATAAACGAGCACAAGCTTATTGTCCTCATAGACTACTTAGAATTTCTGTAAATGTTTAAATCGCGAGTAGTATACACCCCTGCCGTTGTTGCAATGTATACGCAGGACAGGACGACGCATAATCACGACGAAACTGATTGTTTTTGGCATTGATCTGACGCGATATCCGCGACAAGGACGATGAATTGCAAAGTTTCGTTGACTCTTCCCTTAGCGTTTCATGAGCTACGTTTTTCGATGAATTGTACTAGAAACGAGTGAATCTCCAGAGCGGAACTAGTGTACTGCGTTTGATAGCCTTGCAACTGGGGAAAACTGTAAAAGTAGTCGAGGTAGAAGCCTACAATGGTACTCTGTACACAAGGGCATCGAGGGCTCGGTGGAATAGTACGCAAATCCGACATACAGTGCTTCTAGTTAGTTAAATTAGTTCGCGTAGAAACCTGCACAACACTTTGTGCATTTTAATTAATTGAATATAGGCACCGTTTCCTTTCATACTTCCTTCACTCGACACAGTCGCATTATTTTCTTTTTTTTTTTTCTTCTTCTTCTTCTTCTAATGGCATCGCTTACAGACTAATCTTAGAATAATCGCCTTACGATCTACTTAAAATTACAGTAGGTAATGAGAAGATCCCTATCGTGCGTAATGGGTTCAGCATGAATAATTGTCGATTTGGCAGTATGGTAATTTTCTCTTCGCTGAGCGGAAATTTATGTCTCTCTGTGATTTCTCCTCCTTTTATGATCGAGATACTTGCAGTTTTACCCTCTCCCTCTCTCTCTTTCTGATTTCTCGATATCTTCCGTGTCGCATCGATAAGTACTTTACGAAACGCGCGCTCTCTTCGTAGCTTTTCTTTTTTTCTTCTGACGCGGCATGTTTCGCACTTGTAGTAGCTCGCCTCGGAGGTTTCATTACGTTCCCCACTAATATGGAAGCACTGTTCTTCTCCAACGAATAGGAAAGTTTCAGCATAGAACGAAATATCATGTACGCTGACGTTTGGATCGCGAGTTACATGATCGTAAAATAATAAATCTCGTCAGTTTCTTCGTTATTCTTACATTATGTAAAGCAGCCGTCATTTTCGAGCGATTCGGGAGACGTGTAATCGGAACGTGTCTCACAAATTCTCCTCGAGTTGGATATGTTTCAGTGATCGTTTCAATTTTCGACTACGATTTCCTCGTACTATTTCCTCTCGCTTGTCAATCGCTTCCCGCTTGATTTCTTCGATTTCTAGCTCGAAAACGTCCAAGTTTTCTCGTTTCTCGCGTATTCTTGTTCGTCTGCATGTCATCCTGTGTATTTGTGTGTGTGTCCTCTTTTTTTCGAATTATAAAAGGAAATTTTGATATGATGGTAAAGAATATTTCTACAGATATGATTGTTTTACAGCGAGCTTTTAAGCCGTACATTCTAAACGGCAGTATTGTCCCGTTTTTGTTGTCGGGGAATTTGAAAATTGTTTCAGCACACACGGTGCCCATAAAAAGTGGAACTTTTCCGCTTATCTTGAGACTGTTGCGACACCATTGACTGTAAGATACTTGGTTACTACCGTAGTTAGTTGATCGAGAGGTTAATAATTTATCGCCTTTCTACTGTATTTGTCATTGGAAGGTACAAGTATGGTACGCTTTGCCCGGGAACATGATACAGGCTACATACTTACAAACTTACACATTTTTCGTCTATTTCATCGTACTAGACACGTCGCACTTTTGCTCGTTCACCGACCTCTCTTTCGTTTCTTTGTCGATCTCTTCTTTCTCTCGTCGATTCTCTTTCCTCGCGAGTGTCGGCTTGTCAGTTGGCGTAATGATCGAAAGAACCCAAATATTCCAAACTGGCGCGATAGCAAAACTGGTATTGGTCCTGCATAAGCAACATATATTACATTTTATCTACGTGTTACATGTTACAACAGCTATAAAAATATATAAGAAGCAAATCTCAGATAGAAAGTAAAATTCCGTATGTTCGCGCGTTATCTGAGAAATTTAAGGCTGCAAAGATATATATAGAGAAGTGTATATCAACTTGAAGAAATATCTGAGAAGAAATATCTACCATATTAAGATTAAAATATTTCATCGAAAAACGTCTACAAACCTCGGTTTGAACCATAGCAGGTCGTTGCGTGCGCAATATTCTGACCGTTTGGAAGATGTCAACGACTCCCTCATACTGCATACGTTCCAATACAATGCTCAGGGTGATGAAAACGCCTGTTCTCCCAACTCCGGCGCTACAATGTACAGTTATCGGTCCATCTTGGCCAAACTGTTCTTTCGTTTTGTGCACCTGTCCAATAAAGTCGATGAACCCGTCGCCGGACTTTGGAACACCCTGTTCAGGCCAATCGATGAACTGGAACTGTCTGACTGTACGACTCGCTCCGTCTCTCGCATCCGTCACTTTGAATTCTCGCAAAATGTACTGAGGCATGTTGTACTCCGCGATGGGATCAACCACAAAGCATTGATAACGAATTGACCTATCGGACGGCCAGTACTGATGGCATTTCTCTCTACCCATCTCTTTTAATTTCGTTAACATGACCACGATCGTAGAATTATGCTCCCACAGCATACGCCAGAAATCATCTGTGGTGTCGCAGAGGGGTCCTTGAGTGGCGATATAAGCACCTCGGTATCGATATCCATCGATGAGACTGGCGTTGATATAATCCGATCCTTCGATGTTGCGTTGTGGCTGCAGGCATACTCTGGTACACTCGTAGGGCAATATGTGCACCAAGCGATTTTTATGCTTGTTGCAGGGAAGGTTCGCTGAGATGAATCGCGACGAATCCACTTTGATGTTGGACAGTTTCTTGAATTCCAGTTCCATACCAGTGATATTGTCGATCTCTGGCTGCATCAGCTTCTGGATGTGGGAATGTAAGTTTCTGGCAGGCACCTCTGTGTTGCCACAGATCACCGCCTCGTAAAGCGCGTCGTGGATGAAAATGTATTGATCCTCGGTTTGGACCATGTAGTTTCTTTGAGCTCGTAGACAAGTCACGTGGCCATAGATGTCGATCATCTTTTCGTGTTTGATCCTTTCGAGCATCGAGTCGATAACGATGAAGCAACCCGTTCTTCCAACACCGGCGCTACAATGGACGATCAGCGGTCCGCTTTCTGGTGGATTCAGGGATCTGACCCTACGCAAGAACTGCAAGAACGGTGCAGGATGCTCTGGTACACCGTGATCAGGCCAGGCCGTAAATTGCAATTGCTTTATTTCACGTCTCTCGGAATAACCCGCTCTGGATATTTGGAATGTTCGAATGCAGTAGGTAGCCAGCTCTTGGACGTCGGTGATGGTCACAGTCATCAAACCGTAAGTTTCAGAACCTCTACCAGGCCAATACTGATCGCACTTAATCCTCGTTCGTTCCTCCAGCTTTGTCATCATCACGATCGTGCTCGATCTCAATTCCCAACACATTCGCCAGAAATCTCCAAATGTCTCTTGTAGAGGCCCTTGCGTAGCCACGTACGCATTTTGTTTTCTGTATCCATCGCAGTAATTGGCATTTATGTAATCTGTACCCGACATGCCATCTATAGTTTGCAGAATCACCCTCGAATGATCGTAGGCGATCACGTTCGCGTAACGATTCTTCGAAGCGTTTATTTCCATGTTGGAGTGGTCCCAAGTGAATTGCTGTCCAGGCTCGATCGACTCGTACTCCTGACTGAACTTTAGATTGTCGTTTGCTTTTAGGCGCTCGATGTGGTTTCCTAGTTCGCTGATCGGAATCGGAGGATGAGAGGCCATGCCAGGCGTTTGGAAATTTAAACGGCGCATTTCGACTGGATCGGATGGAGCGTGATTCGAACTGATGTCAGCGGCCATTAATGGTCGGGTGACTGCTGCTTGATCGGGTGCTTTGCAGGGTTGTCTTCGTCTAAAGCGATAAATAAAAATATCGTGAAATTCTTTTCGCCTCTAAGAAAACGTATATCGAACTATGTCATTGTGATATCATCGATGTTGATCGATTTGCTACTCCAGCAAAGTTCCATTGTCGCTGTATTCGATACTTACTTTTTAATAACGAAGAGAAGGACGAGACATATGCTGACCATCAACGCAGCTATTATCGGACCGACCACCCACACCATCCCTGGCTCTTGACCGCTGGTTTTCACCGATACCTCTGGATTTCCATCCACCGGGGTATTCGGATTGGGACGTCGTGGTGGCTCACCAGGGGGTACTTCCCTCATATCGAGAGACAGGTACTCGGAGAAGGGTGACGAAGTGTACAAATGCTAGAATACGAAGTAAAATTAGTTATGTTATCATATTTATTCGTTTAATATCTTTCTCTCTCTCTACTAATTGCAGTCTCATTCCCACCTTCCTCGGTGTGTCGACAACGGCACGCACAAAGATCCTGTATCGTTTACTCTTCTCAAGTTTACGATTTTCATAACCCTCGTATATATCTCCGCTGCCAAGATGGAACGTATACGGAATATCTCTATGTGGAAATTTGGCAGCAATGTAAGGAGCATTCTCCCTTTCCTTAGCCCCTTTTCCCGCGATCATGTCCTCGGTCAATTCGTCGGGTTGCTTATCCGCTGTTGACGGGTCCTCGGGCACGACGATCAAATAGTAATGCGAAATTGATCCATATTCTTCGGAGGCCTGGGGCAGAATCACTTGAATCTCCTCTCCGTTGACCACGCCATAGAAATCAGGCTTGACCATAGGCTTCGGAGCTGCCATTTGCGTGGTAATGGTGATCTTAGCCGGTGGCCTGTACTGACCATCTCTTGGCACCGCGCTCACATTCACGTTGTACGTGGTGAACGGCTGCAGTTCGTTGATCGTGGTCGTCGTCACGCTAGGATCCAAGAGAATCTGTCTGCGTGGCACGATCTGCGTTTGCGTGATACCTTGCGAATCTACGAACTCTTTGACAGCATCGAACGAGACCTTGTAGTTCATGGGGTTCAGTTTGATAGGCGGTTTCCAGGAAAGGGTCATGGAATGCGTGGACGAGTCCGGCCCCCTTAGATCCAAAGGCACGTCTTCCGGCTTCACCTTGACCGTTACCTTCTCGCTGAGTCTTCCAAGGCCAGTCTTATATCTCGCTGCTACCGTGATCGCGTACTGAGTAAATTTCTCTAAGTTGACAAGTTCCGCCGACTCGGTGAGACCGACAGTCTTTTGCTTCCACTCGTCTAGGTCCTCGACAGCGGTTGTCGTGTAGAATATTTGATATCCAAGTATCTTTCCACGGTTAGGTACCGGTTCCCACCAAACTTCCACGCTCGTGTCCGACGTGGCCACCGCTTTTACCGACATCGGTGCCCGGCCAATATCTTTCTCCGTTATGATCGTGATCTTTTCCGAATATGGCCCACTCCCCCTGGATGTGTGCGCTCTCACGTGAAACACGTACTCCGTATTTTCCTCCAAATTCGTGAAAACTGCTCTCGTCTTGGTCGTATTCCTGTTGATGGTTGTAGAGTGATCGTTCTTCTTGTTGAATTGAACGTCGTAACCGGTGATCTGACCGTTTCTGTGCTGTCGCAGGGGCGGATCCCACGTGACACACACTGTGTCCGGAGTTTGGAAAAAGTAGGATAAATTCGTCGGCGGGCCAGTTGGCTCTCCTTCGGGACTGTACCAGAATCGCACCGTCTCCTGACCGAATCCGATCGCGTTTTGACCAGCCACCCTAAACTCGTAATCCACCCCTCGTTCCTCTGCGAATTAAATCCAATCAAAGCGTGAAAAACAGTAATTTTCATTAAGAAAAAATGATCAAATGATACCACTAAGAGAGAAATACTGTATATAGGGGAATCGAGCTTACCAAGATCAGTGATCTTGTAAGTATGTTGACGGTTTCCTGGAATGTACTCTTCCTTGAGCGTTTGGTTCTTAATTCCGTATCTTATTCTATATCCCAACACGTCGCCGTACGTTTGCGTAGGCTGCGACCACTCGAGTTCAACCACGTCAGGATCTTTGGACAAAAGTCTGGAAACGAGACATTGTCAGAAAAAAAAAAGAAGAAAAAAGAAGACAGGACATTGACAAGAAAATGTGAACTTTATTAATTTTATGGATCACGGCTTCTGGGTGATTCATACGTCCGATATAATCTCGTTTTCCAGTTATAGCTTGTTTATGTCGAACTCGTTCGACACAGGCCGTTCGATGCTCGGATTTTTGAACAACTTTGATTGACACGTTAACGAAGTGTTTAAACATTATCAATTGGCGTTTTATAAATAGACTGCGGATTTTTATGCATTCATGGAAAATCAAAAAATACACGGAATGGACATAATATGAAATAATATATGAAATACATAAAATATTTAAAATATAATACTCGTTATAATACGTAGTAGGTGAAACAATGGTCTGCCTCAGCTTCATTTTTCCAATCGTATTCATAAAAATATAAAGTTGTATAAATATCCACACGGCTTCAATAAGCTACGCGTTTTAAATATTTCCATACGTAATAATTAAGAGAATTCGGCTTTGGAGAGCGAGTCGACTAGGCGATCGTTCGTCCGTTTGCCGATATATATATATATATTTTTTTTTTATGCTAGCGAGTTTTATGTCAAGCGAAAAAAATATCGAAAGTTCGTTTGGCATGAAATATAAAGGAATCTAAAGAACATACTTCACGTTAACATGAGGTCTATTGGGTACACCTCCGGGAGTTCTGACAGTTTCTGGCGGCGAACGATCACCGTCTCCTTTTCTCGTTAGAGCGGCCACTTGTACAGAGTACGTGGTGTCAGGTTGCAACCCGGTAATGTTCACTTCCAGCACGCCGTCTTCTTGCACGTCGCGTCGTATCGGCTCGTTCAACAGATCCTTTCCCTACAAAGGTAAATAGCGAAAATATTAGTCGCTGAGAAAATGCGTCCGTTTGAATGAATCACAGCGTGAAATTTGAAGCTCTGCACAGACAGACCTCTTCTCTCATTTCCTGCACGTGTATGTGATAACCTCTTATCACGCCGTTTTGTTCTTTCGACGTTGGCGGTCTCCATTTCACGTGTATCGTGGTCGAATTGATCGGTGTTACCGTCACGTTTTGAGGATGACCCGGCACTGGAACGCAACGATCGGTTAATTCGTGCACTTGACGGCCGATTCTGCTGCATACTCGCAATCACACGCTCTCACACTATCGCAGTCATACTTGAAAGGGGGGATGAAACGATATCATAACCAGGAAGAAAGATCTGTAAAGTAAATAAATACGTAGGGTTGGATCGAACGAAACAAAACGGTAGGGAGGGGCCTGTCCATTGAATCGTGTCCGTCCGATGGGTCGAAGAAGCAACTAAAAAACTAAAAGTACTCTTTTCTCTCTATGCAGAAACATAAAATAACGTCGATCTCTGTGTCCGTTTAATCGGTAACGATCTGTAACGGGTCGTTCGTCGTTGGTATATAAACGAAGTGAAGGAGCGCGTAGCGAAAACAGTATGGCAAATCAAAGCGTTGTATACAGCAAATTGAAAACTCGTGCGAGAAACAAAATAACGCAGCAGCGTTGCAACGAAAGGGAACAGGTGAAAGACAGAACGTAACGTAAACGAACGAAAACAAATCGCAAGGATGAAACGAGAAAGAGAATATGATAAAGATAGAGAGAGAGAGAGAGAGAGAGAGAGAGAAAGAGAAAGAGAAAGAGAGAGTAAAGAAAAATTAATGGAAAATATGTACATGCCACCAATCGCACACGGACAAAACGATGTACAAACAATATTACGAGGTACGCCGGTACCTCATGCTCTACGTCCCTACGACACGATAATCCTCCATTTGAATACCAATAATGTATGTTTTTATTCTGCATTCGATTTCAGAACGCGAATGTACGAATGCGCGTATAAATACGTCATCGAGATGCAAGAGCGCGGTTACGTTGGTCGATAATGCTACGGCAATATTGGAGAGTCCATGACGAACGAAAACGAAGTAGTTCCGTTATACGCATACATACATACGGTATACGCGTATATATGCGATGTACTATCGTTGGTTGTGCGACGTGGATGAAAACTGTGCCAGAGGAAACGTGCAATCGTGTTTTTCGATAAACGTGCAAGGATAACGAAATGTATCACGCGAATTTACACATATATCCACATTGATAAGCCGTTTTGATAATTTGTCGCGAACGTCGCTACGTCGCCACCCATTTTCATTTCCCTCGTTGCGATTTTGCTTTTTTACGCTTCTCGAAGTCTTCGCTTTGTGATCTGCACGGATCTCGAGACCCGGTTCGATATATTTCTCTCGAATCATCCCCATTATTGTATTTTCGATAGACAACGACGAGAACGACGTGGACAAAGACGACGCGTGGTCATGGACGGTCCAGTATCCGGCATCGGAAACGTTATATCGGCGTTACACAGAAAAACAACGAACGAAAAAAAAAAAAAAGAAAGAAGAAGAATTGTAGGAGAAAAAGAAAAGGAAAGCCTAATGTACCTCTAGGTTTGTACGAGAACGATAACTGCAGCCTCTACAAAGTGTCGCAAAATAAAAACTGCGTTGCAAGAAAGAATACGACAAAGAAAAGCCAAACACGACTGCTGCATACAGAAGATGGCCTGTATACAGAAGAAGAAAGTTTCCCTCGGTGAACGAGATACGTCTCTTGCTTCTATATCGGTTTTAAGTTTTACTGTTCTCGCGTAATTAATGTATCAATTACGTCCATAAAATCGCTACGCAACGCAAAAAACAAAATTGGCGAGCGCGCAGTCGCAGTCGCAGCCGCAACTATTTACGCAGACGTAAATAGTTTTCATTTTAATTGTATTTGCTTACCGACTGCAGCAACGAAAACACAGTGAAAAAAAAAAAAAGAAAAAATCTCCAAAATAGTCTCCCACGGAGAAAAAACAAAACGATATATGCGAAAGAGCCGGAAAAAAGGAACAAAAATATTATATATATATATTATGTGTATATATATATATATATATATGTGTGTAAAGAGAGAGACAAAGAAAAAAATGATTAAATACAGGAAGAAAATTCATGGCACAATTCGAGACGAGCTAAGGGATACTCACTTTTTGGATCTGCGCCCCAAAAGTCGCCAAAAAAGTGGGAAAAAAATCTCGTAAAAATTCGTGTCAACTTCTCACGTATATTGAGTAGAATTATTAAATATTTAATATATTTAGGCATATCAGTGGGTAGCATACTACTGATTATTATCAACGTCAACATGGCCTCTTTTACAGCTATTGTATTTTTTTTTTTTTTTTGCTCTGATTAGGGGGAGAGAGAGAAAGAGAGAGAAAAAAGGTATGAAATTTTTGTCTGTTTCTCTGGTGAAACACGCACACGCGCACTCGCTCGTTCGTTCGTTCGTTCCCTCCCTCCCACGCGCTCGATTCCAATCGCACCCTCTGCTCTATTCGTAATATTTTTTATCGCTCTGCCGAGCAACGTCGGTGGACAAAATTCTCTTTCGAATCGATCGTTAAATAGAAAAATATCGCTTGGTCCTCGGTTGCAGTTGGTCGCAGAGAGGCGGGAGATGTGAGAATATCTTTTTTTTTTTTTCTTGTCTTTTTGGCATGCGCAATCACTACTCCAAATATGAAATAACTAAAGGCTCATGTCCACCTGCCTCCTGCCGCCGAGAGAAAGACTCGCCGATTTTTCTTCTTCTTTGCGCAAATTCGAAGCGCGATACGTAACCGCGGCCTTTCTTATCAGAGTGAAGTCGATCCAACAGCTTTCGGCCAAGGAAAATCGCGAGGAAGGAAGAAAACAGAAAAGATGACAATGGAAGGAGAAAAACGCAAGGACAAGATAGACGACACGAGTCCGCGCGTTTCGTCCTTTCCCTCGCGGCACGAGGCATCGAGAGAGGGAAGACCTATGATAAAATGTCTACTAAAAAGAAAGCTAGGAAGGAGAAACCATAAGTAAGAAGAAGTGGTTGGTATCGTGTTATGGTTCGGGAACGTATAAACCGCTACCCGTGTGTAATCTAAAGTCGTGAAAAAAGGCGCGACTCGTCTCGACGGAAAAAATTCACGTACATAGAATAGATAAGGATACGAGAGTCGGTGAAGGTGGAATATGTTTTCGAGGAAAATTTTCTTTTTTTTTTTTTTTGTCTTTTTTTTTCTTTTTGCAACTCCAAAAAGTCACCCGCAAAAAACGTCAGCTCGATAAAAAATCTGTATCGCTGTACATGGAAGGGGTAAATTTCTTTTCGAGCGAAAGGCGAAACAAACGACGTCGTTTTGCTTTTGTTCGTCTCGAAGAACGGTGAAAAATTATTTCCGTCCCTCTTTCTGTTCGCTCTTACGTTTCATCGGTAGCATACACCCGCGCATTCACCCACGCAAAAATCGCAAAATTCTTCGCAAAATATGCACGTAATTAACAATGGTCGTGAAATGGTGCGCGTCGTTCTTACGGCACGCCGACTAATCGGATTCCCGATCGGTTTCTCAGTTGTTGGTGTTATCGGCGCACGATAGCAGAGACCGAGTCGGAGGGAAAACAGAGAAGGAAGAAGCATGCGTTTGTCGGATGGAAAATGGAGAACCGATCGTTCGGTTCTTGTTGGAACGACGAACGGGTGGTTCCTCGATCGGTCGATTTCTTAATATTCCGACGACACAGCTACCAGAGTAAAAGAGACAACCGGACTCGAACCGCGAGTCGTTGTTGATTCAGAAATGGAAACGTGAAAAACACACATAAAACGGAGTACAGTATACTCTTTCTATATACCTAGAGGAGAAGACGTAAAGGTATATCGAGACACGATATAAAGATGTAGTAATACGTAATATATGTAATGTATATATATATAAAGAACATGTTATACGTACGAATAAAATACGTAATTCAATATTAAAGATACGATAGTTATAACTTACAGAGAGGCAGAAGATGGAAAAAAGTAGGTCGGTGAGAGCATGCAAAGAACGAAGGTGCACGTATAGACAATAGAGTAGAGAAGGTCTGGTGTAATATGATTATGTATATCATTCCAACGACATCGGTGAGTGTAAGAAATTTCCGCGATATTCCCGCGTATCAACGATCCATCGATGTTCGTCTCGAACGGACAGAGAGTCTTTGGCGGTTTTCACCGACTTTTCACCCCTTTCGTCGAAGGGATTCTGTTCTTTCGATAGCAGCGGAACGGGGTGTCGGCGAACGCTCTCTCTCCGTCGATATCGATGCATCTCAGCGCTTGTTGCCGACAGGCTCGTGGCTGTCGACTAAATGGACGAAGATAATGAAAAAAATTGCATGAATATTGGTATTCAAATGTTTCAAATTGAACGTCTTCTCGCGGCAATTCTCTTCCTCCGCGTCACGGATATTTCGCTCGTGTTGCTAATATCGCCCGGTGAATATCGCGCTTGCGGCCGAAGAATTCGCGAACGTCGCCCTCCGATTTTCGCTAATTTCTTTGCCTGGCACGACGATCGATTATCATTCTCCTCGTGCTGCCATTGCGCGACTTTCGACGCGTTACGGTTTACTCTTGCATCCTGTACTCTTTTACGCACTCGTTCACGCATTCACGCGTGCACGCCGCACCCGACGTGAACTCGATACCGTTGTTCTCGATAGATTCAACGACTATCGATGCACATAACTACATTACTCGGACATACGATGCTACGAGACAAGAGAGTAAACAGATCGAGACCGAATCGAGGTTCACGTGGAGAAGACGCGCTGATCAAACTGCACGACAATCGACGGTGGGGGTGCTCGTTATTCAAGGGTGCTCTCAGTGCTGGTGCTCGGCACGATATATCGCAATCGAGTGTGACAATTGATATTTAGACACGTGAATATATAGTGATCATACGGTGCGCTGCGAAATACGGTGCTGTTTTTAATACGTCGAAGGTCCAACGAATACTATACGTATATCGGGAGCGCATTATAGTCGCTCGCGCACGTTCACGCACGAGTCTCGCTTGTTTCCTAGGCGTTTACGTACAAAGCAAGTACATCGAAATGTACGTAGATACGCGCGTACACACACTCACCCACGCACACGTCCTACGTACATGCGTGCATGCGTGCACGCGTGTGCTTTTTAGGCTGTCGGCAGTTACTCGAAGCGAAGGGTGCTTTTTCAAGTGGTGCATGGTGATATACGTGTGTGTATATATATATATATACACATACATATATATATATATACACATATATACCCAGTTAGTAGGACACGGCAAAGGCGTGCGTCTGCGTGTGGCTTTTGTGCGTAGGTGCGTAGATACGCGTTCATCGTTGAGCGCTTCACTTTCTTCCTTCTTTATTTTCTCTCTACCTTTCGTCGTGCGTGAAACGCGTGTGCGACTTTACATGCGTGCGTGGTGGGTGCGAGATAAAACCGTGCCCGCATGAAAAATAATACTTTTATCGGTGCCCGTGCACACACTCATAACGGCGGTAATGATACATATACATATAATATATAATATGTGTAATACATATATATATAATATATATAGGTATATATACAAGATATATGTAATATGTATATATCGATAATACGTTTAGAATAATATAATCATAGAATATTGGTAGTGATGGCGATACTAGCGGCGACAATAACAATAACGAACGAGTATACGTATATACGACGGTGAACTTTTGTGCTTGATAATGTGCGAGCTTACACGGCAGGGTGCTTTCAGCAGTGCTTTTTATCGTTCCGCCTCGCTTTGCCGAGTCTGCTGTTAGAGGGTGGACGGTTGGATCGGTCGGTCCGTAAACGGGACAATGCGTGGGAGGAACAGGGAGTAGGGGGCTGGTGAAACGAAAGAGGATCCTGGGCGTTCCGTAGTGCCGAGTGCAAAAGGTTCGAGGGAACGTCGTTAGAGATGCGTTCGTACGACTTTTTCCGCGACAATGACGCGCCTTCACAATGCCTCTCTCGCAACAAATGATTCCGATTTCGCGACCAACCAAGGTCTTCGATTATTTTCCAAGACAAAAGAGCTGCCGTTCTCCTGGCTGCGATCCTACGTGTGTTCTTTCATTCTTTCGTAGACGAAACGCGGTCGACTGTCTGTCGTACGACGTGTTCTGAACGTCACCGACGGAGAAAAGAAAGAAAAAAGGATATCGCGGCTCGATTACTTTCCCCATCGATACGATTAATAACATCGTATCGTCGTAGTCGCTATCGTTCCCTCTACCTTTCGTTAGCTTCTCTGCTCGCCGATTCGCGAGATTAATCGGACGGGGAACGGGCAAACGGTGGTGTCTGGAAGGGGTTGAAAAACTCGTTGTACCATGCAGGGTGGGACGGTACCGAACCGATGATCAGCCAAGTACCGAGTAGGAGACGGAAAGGAAAGATTCGAAACGAAAAGCAAAACTTCTTCGTGCATCGGCATGCCATTCATAGGACTTTTGTCGATTCGGTTGTGGAACCATTTTACGGTGGTTCGAGACCGAGATCTCGCAGACTCGACAGCAGCTTGACGGTTTCTTTGGACGGTGATGGGAGAATCTGTTTCGAGTTGGGGATTCCAGGGATCGCTCGTAGTCGAGGAGAATTATATGATCGACGGGATTGAATTTTTGGTGAGACCGAGGGATCGATAAACAAACGAAGGCATGCTCTAAACATGTGCAAACGATAGGTAGAACTAAATTTTAACTAAAGACAGAAGAGCCTTATATATCAGAGATATAGAAATATATTATATATGTATATATATAGATATATATGATTTTTCTCAAATACTTATATTTATATATATATATATATATATATACATATAAATGCATATATGTAGGTATGTAGTGGAATAATAATATGTATATATATTTTTGCTGTGTGTAATACATACGCTATGGTTTACATATATATATATATATATATGATATATGTATAGGTATAAATTATATATATATATATATATACACACACATAAGCGTTTCACCAGACAAGCTGCCGCCCTCGTTCACAGACATTATTTCCGTCCGATAAATGTCTCGTAGAATCGATTCAAGCGATAATATAGAATTTTTCCTCGGAACGGTAAAAATAATGTTGCGCACGCTTAGGGACGGTCAGTTTGGCCTCTATCGTCGTAACACGTGGCAAGAGTGAGTCAACGAACTAAAGAGAGAAACGAAACATCTTTACGTGACGTAATAATCACGGTTACCACCAGAAAGAACATTGAGTGTTATGAGTACATATCATTAGACAATCGGTAATGTTACGTTAGTGCGAATAAATCTTAAAAACTAGCTGTTCAAAACCTGGATCATCCTCCTGCAAATGCTTTAAGGAAAGACAAAAACACGTGAATGAGTATATAATTAAGTATTAGTTAGCGTGTTAAAATGGGTCTCCAAGTTTTAAAAGAGGGGGCTCAGGGGAACAAAAACCAACGGCAACGTACAAAGGGAGAGTTGCGATTAGGCCCTGTAAAAATAGTAAGAAAATACGTTCCTCTTTTTTTTTTTTTGGTCGTATCTTTTTCTCATTTTTTTTTTTTTTTTTTTTTGGTAATAGCTGAGCTCAAAAATTGGTTATCAGCTTCTGAAAAATCCGCGGCTGCGTGCACCACCTGGAAAAAATGTCTGGGGCACTCTGGGGAAAAGTTCGGGGCTTTTCTCTGGGAGCACAGAATATTTCATGGAAGATCGTTTTGTTGTCGCAAAAATTCCAAAAATATAAAATCTCGCCAGCCAAAAAATTAGGGCCAACATGGTTCCGCGTTTCGCTATGTAATTGCCGCGTCCCGTCCAAAAAGGAGAAGCAAAAACCAAAGGAAAAAAGATACACACACACACATTTTTTGGGAGAGATCGAAGGTATTGCCAGAGAAGCGATAGGAAGGTTTGGTGGAGCGTTTAGCTTTTGAAGGAGAAACGCGAAAAAATCGATGTGCGCGTTCAAAAAACTTACGTTCGCGCAACAAAAATTGAATTATCGGATTTCAGTGTTTCGAAATGGAAAAAAAGGGCCGCGTATTCGTCCTGGTATCTTCTCTGTTGCCGCGACAAGGCTGAGTTGACAGTTCGTTTCTCGAAAGCGTAACTGAAACGCAAAAGTGGCCTGAGAGGAGAAGCTTTACGTATTTTATAATACAATATGATATAATATAATAATATAATGTAATATAATATAGTATAATATGATATGATATAATATAATATAATATAATATAATATAATATAATATAATATAATATAATATAATATATTGTAATATAACGTAACGTAATGTAATGTAAGGTAACATAATTCGGTGAGATCGAACGAAACGAAAACACAACGATAATGTAATCTAGAAACGGAAACGCATGTAAAACGTTGTCGAACAAGAAAACAGAACTAAAAACAGAGTGAAGAAGATAGAGAATCGTTAAGAGAAGGAGGATCGGTTGTATGTGACACGGTTGGGAAGAGATAGGTTCGAAGAGACGTTAGCGGAATCTGAAATCGAAAATACGTTTAATACAGAGATATACATTTATGTAGACAGCCGTAGGATAGACCGAACGTCACCGGGTCGAGAATCAGGGCGTGTCATCGCAACCGGCACTGGAATCACGGGTACTGATCTTCGGACTGATTTTTGGCGGGCTTTTATATTTTTGGCTCTTGCGCGATGAACTTTGTCGCGATATATAGCCTTCGCAAAAGTATCTCTATAGACGCGAAGCGTGGCGCCCGGAACCTTCGCGAGGTCTTTTCTTATGCAATAAAATATCAGTAAATTAACAATATATATATATATATATATGGCTATAATAGAGAAACTATAAAAGACACGATAAATCGAAGAGAAACGATTCCTCGCTCGAGTCTCGCAACGCCACTCCTCTCTATGTTCGATTAAAGGTAAGAAGACGACTAGCGTTAATGATACATACCGTCCTCGTGAGTTCTGACCGAGATAGGATAACTCGGAGGTCCGTCACCTACGCTGGTCCCGGCCAATACCCAAATCCGGTACTCGGTCCATTTTTTCAGTTCGTCCAACACGAATCGCGTGTCATTCAGTTTGATAACTTTCGCCTCCGAGTCGGAGCGTCCGCTCTCGACGACTTGCAGCTTGTAGTACGCGATCCTCCCGTTCGATCGATCGGCAGGCGGTGGTTCCCATGTTACCAATATGGAGGTCGGGCTGATCGCTTGTCCGCTTACATTGCGAGGCGGAGCCCCGGGGACTGTATAACACTCAGTTATAGGGGGGGGAAGAGGGGAAAAAACGAAAACGTGGTAGGAAAATATCGTCGATCGTCGGTCATTGAACGATCGCGGTCAACTGCGAGGGCTCGAGTCCCGAATCGAAAGAATCGCGAAAAATTCGTGCAAAATTCGTTGGAAATTTGTTGGAAACTCGTCGAAATTCGAGCTACGGCTTAATTCGATTTTCGCGTTACTGGTTTTTGGCAAGGTGAACGCGTATACGATCGGCCGATGGTTAATTATAGAAAAAAAAAAAAAAAAAAAAGGAAAAAAACGAATGTTCGCGGGTATTTCGATTCGTTGGACTCGAACAACTTCGAAATCGAACCACGTTCGAACCTGACCGACGCGACGAAGGGATCTAAACGAAAAACTTTACGTGACGATTGGTCAAGGTTCAGAGAGGCGAATCACTCAAGGAAAAACTCATGAGTCGATCCTTGAACAGTCGAAAAAGTACGTGATTAGAGAAAAAATTTCATGTGGCACGAGCGATTAACTCGCGCGTGTTACGCCGCGTGGAGTTAAAACGCCGTGCCTCGATTAGCAAGGAAACGAGAGACAATAAAAAACTGAAGAACGGACGTAAACCATACGTTATCAAGAATGAAAAGAGGTGCCCAAAATGCACACATATATCAATGCAGTGCTTAGTGCAATTTATATGTATGATATGTACGTATATATATATAGATAGATATATATAAAGTGGCATCCAAAAACGGCTGTCTTATTTGCAACGCATGCAATCATTCTCACTCTCCCACACTTCACGGTTCAACGATACTCTCTATCTTCCGTCTTTCTTTTCTTATGGATATTTTTTTCTTTTCCCCCCTTGTTCAATGAAATCCACGGTCACGAAGAACATCTTTAGCATATCTGAACTCAAGGTGTCGCGAATTAATTACGATAGCTTACGCTACTTTGCGGGAGCGTCTAGCGCTACAGCACCTCCTACCTGCCGTGCCACGATGATCCGCGATTGCATCGACGTGCATCACGCGTTCACAATAGATTCTATCAAAATTTATCCCCTATTACCATCGAACAATCGCGAATCGATCTTTCTTCGGCACTCCTCGCTGCATGAATTCACTCCTATCTTTTTCGCCTTCTTTTCTGCTTCTTTGACTATTTGCTTACCGTACTGTTTCGTGCGAACCGGATATGGTATCGTTGTAGCTCCTTCGCCCCTTTGACTCCGCGCAGCCAACCAAACGTAATACAGCGTGTTCGGATACAGGCCTGTCAGCGTGTAGTTCTCGGTGACTGGTATCCTTCGATGATGCTTCTCCTGAAATTCATCGCGATTCCGACGATTCGCAAGAAAGATTAAAATTTATATTTCCTATAAACGCCAGACACGAACGTATATGCTTCGTACTTGACGCGTAAATGACAGATATATTAGAAAGATATTTACAGAAAGTTTAGAGATCGGAAGACGCGGGATAAGTTGCAACGAATTACCCACCTGCGCGTAAGTATCGTTCCAGTACAACTCATAGCTGAGGATATTCTCCGCGCTATGAGTAGGTTTGTTCCACTGGAGTGTCACTTTCGTCTCTCCGATATCTACCGCGGTCAACATTTCCGGTTGACTCGGTACCCCTTGTTGCGTCTTTATCTGAACAGGTGTACTCAGTGGACCGGGACCAACGCTTGTCAGCGCCTGCACTCGAATCATGTATATCGTGTGCGGCGTTAAATCCGAGATCGTGGTTAGCTGGCTATTGTCCACCAGCTGATACTGCCAAGAGGCCATTTGTTGATTCGGATCCGTCGTATAATATACTTTGTATCCCTGCGGGCGGGAAAGATTAAATCGCGTCAGAAAGCGTGACAAAATACGTGCTCTCGTATGTATGTACGCTCATCGATACGTGGACACGGTTGTCCCATGTAACATGGGACAAGCTACGGCTTTGAAAAATTCCGCCGGATTTATTTTCAATTAATAAATTTTTTAATTAGGCCGGATTGGATTAGATCAAGTAGATTCGAACGCCATACGCGATATGGTGTATATGACCATTCTGAAAATAATGATTTTCAGATACAAATATCCAAATACTTTTATACAGAGAGTCAAAAAAACGCATACAGTATCCGTATACTTATGAGCGGTAGTGTGTAACCGGCGATAAAACTAACCGTCACTTGTCCGTTTGGCGTTTCCGGCTCGTCCCATTGTATGACCATTGTGCTGGAGCTCAATGGGCGGGCGACCACCTTCCGTGGTGCAGTACCAGGTTCTAGAAGGAAGAAATTATTTTGGATTTTCTTCGAATCGCGTTTCCATCGTGGACAAGCCAATCTAGTTAGTCACTGGAGAGTACAAATAAATTCCCGGGAACACCACCATAAGAACCAAAATTTAAAATAACAGGTATTCCAAGTAGAGAAAAAAAAAAAAAAACAAATGAAGGACAGAGCATGTATAATCATAATGCACTCTGCGATGTTCGTGGCATTGCGATTAAAATACGATTTACCAATGAATGGAAAAGAACGGACTAAAGGATCGCGTGTGTCGTGTTGTAGTGTTGATTAGCTACAAGTATGATACATCTTTATCTCGATAAGTGTCGAGTGTGCGGGTGCGAACGAACGATGGACATGTGCGTGTGCTTTGAATAAATAAAAATACAAAGGATCGAATAGAGAAAAAAAAACGCGAAATAAAACAAGAAAATAAAAACAAAAAATAAGAGAGAAAACGAAAAATAAAAACAGAATAAAACGAGAGAAAATGAAACGAAGAACAAACAAACGGAAAAAAAAATTGTAGAAAGAAAGAAAGAAAATATGCAAAAATAAACAGAAAATACAAAGGACAAATATGTTTGCTACAGCACTCTTAGTATATGATTGAACTTACTGGTACCTCCATTTGTCGATTCCGCTATTGAAAAAAAGGATGAATGATTATTCTTCGATGATACTCGATTAAGTGGTATATAATGCACGGTGAAAATACGAATCGGGTTTGCGGCTTCGTTCGTATTTTCACAAGGTGCGAAGAGTGCGCTACTTTATCGAGGAAAGGTGCAATTTCGCGTGCTGTCTCTCCGCGTATTGGTTTTACTCTTTTCCCAGAAAAGAGACGGAGAGACGTAGGGGGAGACAGAGAGGGCTATATGGGGAGAGGCAGAGACGGAAAAATGCAGAGCGAAACGAGACGTCGAAGCGCGACGCGCCGAACACGATCCGACAAAAACACTAACACATGGTGCGACACAGAGAAAGGGGATTGGTGATAGGTGAAAAAAAATGTCTTGTCACTTACATGAATCAAATCGTGCGTCCACGGCGGACAGCATGGAAAAAAAGTACAATTTCCCTCAAAAACCGTGTCAAAACTTGTGCCTTCTTCGTGGTGCAAAAACATTATCTACGTGCAAAAATTTTTGTAATTCGCTCGCCGGGTTAATAAGCTACTTTTTCCCGCGTTTGTACGCGAAAAAAACTTGCCCATTCCTTTCATGTCTTTACTTATCGTCGATCGACTATGCTCATCTTTTTGCCAGACGAATGATCGAAAAATACGCGTTAGTCGAATTAGTCGAGTGGCGTCGAGTAGAGTCGAGTGGAGTCGAGTCGAGTCGAACGGAGTTGAATTCTTCAGAGTTCCGCATACACGGTATCGGTGATTCGTTTTGAAACGAGTGATAACGCTTGTGTATCTCGACGATGCGACAACGATGACCCTGAAACGTTGGGAACGTAGCCGCGTCGACGAGAGGCGAGGTCGATTTTTGCAAATGCACAAACACCGATGGTAATGAGAAAAGCGTTAGAAGGCGAAAGGAATACTGACTCGTTTCTCCAGTGGTGACTGTCACAGGGGCACTCGCGGGACCACGCCCAATGGCGTTCACGGCTGTCACGGTAAGCTCGTACTCGGTGTAAGGGCTCAGACTCCGAACATGATAGTACATGGTCGTGATGCCCGATATTTCGGCTTCGGCTTGCTGCACGTGCTTCGGCTTATGTTGAATCACGTAGTATTGCACTTCCTCCGGATTTTTGTAGTACCATGTAAGCTTCACGGATGTGGCGGTGATGTCGGACACTTGAACGTTCTCCGGAGCACTCGGCAAGGCTGCAATTCGTTACGCGAATTCGTTGTTTAATTGCTATTCCATCCGTGTTACGCGTCTCGTATATACGCAGGACGTTTCAAGAAACTGAGATCAAACTCGTTTAATTAGGCTTTCTCGTTATAAATAGGTAGATGATACTTTTCCATGTAACCGGGAAACTAGTGATATTTGATCCGCTGTTTGTTACGATTATTTTCTTTTTTTTTTTCCTTCATGAATATTACCACGCGCTTCTGAGGCTTAATGTCAACTATAATATTTGAAACAGCCTGTAGCAACCGCTTCTTCGCGCGTTTCGCCTATTTTCACAAAGTACATTGTCCTCGGTCTTTGAACGTAACGCATAAGCCGATTGATTAGTCACGGAAACTGTAGCATCACGGTTCGTTGTGTACCTCGTTGGAACACAGTCGCACACAGTGATCGAGTGATTGATCGTTTTACGTAACGTAGCTCGATAGGTCGCTAGCGCGATCTCCGAGGATTTACGCGCGATTTCGATCCATCTCGGTACGATACGATACAATACGATACGATACGATACGATACGATACGGTACGATAGGGTACGACGCGACACACCGCGATACAATACACGATACGATACGAAACGACAGTATTTGCTATTATACGATACGAGAACACCATACCATACGAACCTTGAACTTTCACCATCGTCGTGACTTCGATGATTCCGAGATCGCTGGCAGCCGTGCAGGTGTAGTTGGCAGACTCCTTCACGTTTGTGAGTATCAGCACGTTTCTACCGACTGGCAGATTGTCATCCGGAGTGAGATCCGTGGATGGACCTTTCTTCCATTTGACATACGGCATCGGAGAACCCACGGCGACGCAGGTCAAATTCAATGATCCACCAGATCTTACCTCGCTGACGGCGGGCGGAGGAATGGAAAAAGTTGGCGCGACTCGTCGAACTGCGTGCAAATAGAATTTAGTTATATACGATGCGAGGATTCTTCTGTCTTAACGCGTTAATTGCCGAGTCAAAGTCCCGTAGTTACTCGACTGAAAACCTTTTCTTCTTAAAATACGTCGAATGCCGATGGAGCAACCGGATCGATGCAACCTCGAACGACGATCCTTTGCTGACAACGAGTTCTTAATACGTACGATTCAAGTGGCAATTAACGCGTGTACTAGCCGAAACCGGCAGCCGAGTATTTGATTACGCGATACTCGAATCTCGAGGGACAGAGGCGCGTAGTACCGCAAGAAATGCCGCATCATAATATTTGCGACGCGATTCCAAGCGCGCGAATCCTTTGTGCCGCCAGCTTAGTTTAATTACGCTTTAATTACGTAGCATTAATTTTAATTGCAAACAGGAAAACGACTGGGTTTAACGGCACCAGAGGCTCGGTGCTACGTTTTTGTAATGAATTTACGTTAAAACGGTAGTAACGATAAGAACTCGTTCCTTGAGATTTCCTCGGCGAAC